TCCAGTCTGGGCGACAGAGTGAGACTCCAACTCAAAAAAAAAAAAAAGAAAAAGAAATCCTCCTGTCTCAGCCTCCCAAAGTGCTAGGATTACAGGTGTGAACCACTGCACCTGGCCTGCTTTAGTCTTTTAACTGATCTCTCCATGGTCACTCTTGCCCTCATCCCCAGCAATCTGATTTCATACAGTAGCTAGAATAAATGTAAATCACATCACTACTCCTCTTCTTAAAGCCCTCCATGGTTTTCTTTCTGCCACATTTAGAATAAAATCCAGATACCTTAGGCTTACAGATTCAACATCTGACCTCTGGCTCTCTATCTTGTATCATTCTTTCAATCACTATGCTCAACTATATTGGATTCTTCCTACATTTTAAATCCATCAAACGTGTTCCTGCCTTAAAACTTTTGCACTATCTAGTCCCTACCTGGAATATCCTCCCTCCAAACTCTTCATGACTGGCTCTTTCTTGGTCTTCAGGTCTGAGCTTAAATGTCACCTCTTCAGACAGGCATTCCCTGATCCTCAAATCTAAAACAATGAGTCAGTTACACTCTACTATTTTACCTTCCTGCATAGCACTTACCACTATCTGATATTTTTCTTATTTATTGCTTATTTTTTTATTTTTTATTTATTTATTTTTATTATTTATTGTTTATTTATGTTTGTCTATTCTCATTACAAGTAAGTTCCACAGGAGCAGGGGTCTTGTTTGTCTTCAACTACTGTATCCTTATATCTAGCTCCTACCACATAATAAGAGCTCAAAAGGCTGGACTTGACGGCTCAACCTGTAATCCCAGCACTTTAGTGAGTGGATTGCCTGAGCCCGTGGGTTTGAGACCCACCTGAGCAACTTGGTGAGACCTTGTTTCTACAATAAATCAAAAATTAGCCGGGAGTGGTAGCACACACTTGTAGTTCCAGTTATTTGGAAGGCTGAGGCAGAAGGATCACCGGAGCCCAGCAGGTCAAGGCTGTGGTGACCGGGAGCATGCCACTGCACTCCAGTCTGGGCGACAGAGTGAGAATCCAACTCAAAAAAAAAAGAGCTCAATAAATATTTATTGCATGAAATGAATAAACATAGCACATAGATTCTTCTAGGGAGCTTCTTTTCCATACCGCTCCATCTATGTCTCTGCTCCCAGACTTCATATATCATAAGCTGTATCATAGTTGTAAATGAGAAAGATGAAAAGCAAGGCAGAAATGGAGATGGAAGGATACTAATATAATAAAAAAGAACAAAGACATTCATAGGGAAACAAAAAACAAATAGATAATATGTATATAGAGAATTTTACTTGCAAATTGTATTTTTCTCTGCCTTCATCGTTAGCAACATATTAAGTCCAAGCCAACATTGTTCCTTGCTCACATTAGGGTATCTCCTCTTCTTTTGCCCCATTGCAATCCATTTTTGACATTGCAGCAAGAGAGATGTTCTTTAAAAACAACTTGAAGCCGGGCTCGGAGGCTCAGCCTGTAATCCCGCGCCTTTGGGAGGCTGAGGTGAGT